ATATTATTTGTTTTTCTATATGTAATTTATTCTGGGCATATTAGTTTTAAAAAATATGAAATTGAGAATTTTAAAAAGAAAAAGTCTCCGGACACCTACGCGTTCACGTGATTTGCACCTACCAAATGTCCACATGATTACTATTATTTCGAAATAATCACTGTTACACAACACGATTTGTTAATTGTGTCGTATATATACACACATACATACGTACGTACGTACGTACGTACAACAGAGTTAGCAATTGAATAAATAAGACATTAGTATATATAAATTAATATTTTATCATATAAAACTTTTAAAGATAAATATTGCTATAATTGCTGTACGTATATACATAAGTACGTTAATGGGGCATATTCACAAAGTATAAAAATATTAAATAATAATAACGCATTTGATACTTAAACGTTGTACATGAAATTATGAAGTTTGCAGCATAAATTACGGTAATCAGAAACTTTTTTAAAGGTACGTAGTATAAATAAACTATAATAATGCGTTAAGATAAATGCATATTGTTTTTCGCCCTAATAATTATTAGCCTTAAAATTATTAAATGTAATACTTAACTTTTATATAATTCTACCCATAATGTATTAAATTTTATGTTATCAATAAACAGTATAATACTTACACTTAAGATAAATCAACTGTTTCAATTGTTTGAACGTTATGTTCTTTCTTGATAGCTTCCTGAAAGCGTGCAATCTTATTTTCAAATAATCGCTCCCAAATCTTGCTTTCATTTGAACATATATTTTGCCATCCTCGAACAATGACTGGAACAGGTGCATTTGGGTTTAACTTTATGGCAATATAGTGATTTAGCCCTATCAACGAAACCAAATACAATAGACTGATTTCTATTTAATGGAATATTGTCAGGCAAAAATGTTAGACATTGATGCCTGCTAAAATAATGAACTGGCCGTTGGAAAGCATTTGCTATGGGGTATCCAAATGATGGCATTATCATCCAATAATCAATACTGCAAAGACCTTTCTCCCATTGAACGATTGAGATAACATTATTATATTCAGTTTCACCCTCAAGAAATAGTTGAATATAATGAGATTTTCGATTAGTTAGCTCATTAAAAATACTTTGTCTTATAACTGGCCATTCATCTTCGGGTATTTCAAGTGATGTAGCAATGGCACGAAAGCCACAGTTTCCATCACCATGAACGTTTATGTAGCTTAATATGTGCTCTTGCATAAATTTTGGTACATTTTCTTTAAATATATCACAAGTATCAAGAGAAGAATTTAAAATATTGTTCTCTTTTTGTTTTAATTGAAGTTTATTCAGTAACTTTTGTTTTTTTTTCTTCTCTAATTCTTGTTTTTCACTCATAAGTTTTTCATGTTTTGTTCCTAAAGGACGACCTTTTGGAACTGTTATCTTTGGAACTTTTACAGGTTCAGATAGTGGCATTGTAACCACTTTATAAATATTTAATATAAACTCTGCTCTTACGGAAGAATTTTCTGGAAGTTGATAAAACAGATCTTCAGCTTTAAAAAAAGCTTTGTAAAATTCTGGATCAGTAACTGGTGACTCCTTAATCTCAGGTCTATGAAGATGCCAACGCTTGTCAATTATACTAAGAGGAATTGGATCATTTTTAGGAATAATATGATAATATGGAAACTTATAGTTAATATTAATTAAACATTGACAAGTTTGCTTATTATCATATAATTTTTCTTCGCTTTCAACTAATTGTCTCTTTATTTTATCAATTGCATATGTGGATATATTACCAAGAATTATACTAAACCGAGGATTACGCATAATAAATGGATCATATGCAATTTTATTATTGCCTGTATGCATAAAAGTTTTAAGATGTTGTACTCTCATTCTTTGATCAATTGCTTCAAAAACTGTTTCTAAGCCACTAGCTGTCTCTATTGCACGCTTAAAAGCACTATGTGATGATTCTGCACAAGCAGTAGAAGAAATACCCATATGACAAAAGTGCTTTGTAAATGCGCAACCCATAATTCTGAATCTTTCATCAAACTTCCAATATATATTAAAGGCTTTTGTGGATCTCGCGCCTTTTTTGCAGCAATTTTAATAGAATTCATTGCAGCATTTATATGTTTTTTGTCAAAAGTTAAATGTAAAGCTCTGACTTGTGTTCTAAATTCTAAATAGTCATCATTGTTATCAAAAAGTTTATAGCAGTTGGTTTTAAGGTTTTGTTCAATTAAATGCCAAATACATAGCATTTTGTTTGCTTCCAGAAAAACTTTGTTAGAAGCATTTCGAAGTGCCTGGTCTCTATCTGACATAAACACATTTGGAATACAACCATATGCTTCATATACCTTATTACGAAGTGCCATTAAAAACCATTGATAAGAAGCTTCACTTTCATTTTCGATCCATGCCATTGCAATTTTAAAAGTTTTTAATGAACCCTTATCATTTGCAACATTTCTAATTCCAACTGCACTTACAAGTGAAAACTTATATATATTCGTCTTATAGGTTGAATCAACAATTAAAACTTCTGGACATTTTGCAACATGCATTATTGCTTCGACATAAGAAAAAAATAGGTGTGTTAAATGACCATCTGGTGTTTTTAAAACTTCTATCATATAATCACGTTGCTTTAAAAGACGTAAAAGCTTTTGAGCAGAATCTGCATTAGGGCCTTCATTAAGTGCATATCTAATTCGTGCATGCTTATTTACTACATCTTTTGGCATAATAATACCACCACTACTAAGCTGGTTAATAGCAGTAGTAATAATTCGTGTAGGTGTACTGATATTATGTAGCTCATACAAGAGTTTTTTCTGATCAATGCTCAAGTTTCTATGTTGAGGAAGGCTTACTGTTTCATCTAGCTGAAGTAATAAATGATTATGAACATATTCAGTTTTTGTAATAATCCAAACAATTGACAAATCTTTTTTGATAACAGTTGCTCTAATACCAACAGGCCAACAAATTCACTTAGTCTTTGATTTTCTTTTATGTGATTCACTAGTAATGCCCCAATTATTATGCCAATTTTCACTTTTTGTACATTGCAAAACAATATAAGGTGATCTATTATGATTTTCTTTCAAATTGCTATTTTGTCTTGAAAAAGCAAAGCCCTGAGCTTTAGCAGCAGCCTGAGCAGCTTCTTCTAGGGCCTCTAAGGTTAAAAACATATCATCCACATTGGGCAATTTAGCCATTTGATAAGAATATTGAATTTATTTCAATTTGTATAGTTATACGTATCTACTAATTTTATTAGTATAAAGTTAATATTATAATAGTTATGTGTTTCACAAATATAGTAAAATTACAGTATATGTACGTACATATATAGACCCAGAATATATGCAATAGTTACATGAAAAAATACCGTAAATTTCACAAATATGAATTAAAGAACTCAAGGCTATATATTGCAATAAGTTTATTGTTTTGAAGTTGGTTAATTAAATAGTTCACAATACATTTAAAGTTAACAACAATGATAAAAGCTTTTTTACTTCTTATATTTAATTATTGTATATTC